GAGTTCCTCTTATCCAGTTTTCAGTTCTGTCTCAGGGGTAATTTTTCCACGAGTAGTTGTAAATTGGCTGTGTCCACGGGAGGAGGTGAGTTCCGAGTCTGCCTACGCCGCCATCTTGACTCCGCCCCTGTCATTGTATTTTGATAGGGATGTCATTGTATTTTGATAGGGATAGCATTGAATCTGTAGATCACTTTGGGTTATGTAGAGATTTTAACAGTATTAATTTCTTCAATTTATTTACATGGAGTATCTTTCCATTTATTTGTGTTTTCTTCATTTTCTTTCGTCAATATGTTTTAGAGTTTTCAGTGTAGAGATCTTTCACCTCCTTAGTTAAATTTATTCTTAAGTATTTTATTCTTTTTGATGCAATTGTAAATAGGATTGTTTTTTTTAATTTCTCTTCTTGATAGTTTGTTGTTTGTAGTTTGCGTTTTTAAATATAGTGAACAGTGCTATAAGGTAACATATTAGCAAAGATTTGCAGGTGATTAGAGAGTAAGATATACAGATATTTGAGAGAAGTATGTTAGTGCAAAGGCTGTGGGGTAAAGATCCTGGGACTGGAGCATGCCTGTGATGTTCCAGGAACAGGAAGAGGTCCAGTGTGCCATGAGCAGGCTGAAGACAGGAGCAGTAGAATATGAGGTTAGAGAGGTGAACGGGGGAGTGATGGGGAGGCCTCCAGTGTGGGGTTGGAGAGTAGGGTCATGTCATGAGGGAGCTGCTATGACCTGATATATGAGCCATTGGAAAAACATCAGCTTTATGACTAGAGGAGTAATTGTGATCAATCTCACTTATGTTTTAAGTGTGTCATTCTGGTTACCATGTGGAAAATAGATTGTGTGGTGGTGGGGGAGAGGCAGATGGGAGTAGGCACAGGCAGGAGACTATTGGAAAGTATTGCAGTAAACGAGGCAAGCACTGATGGAGCTTGTGCTGGAATATTAGTGGGGGAGGTAGTGAGAAGTGATCAGATTCTGTATGCAATGTGAAGGCAGTAAGGACAGGATGTGCTTATGAGATTTATGTGAGGTACGGAGAAGCCAAGGATGACTCCAAGTTTTTGGGCTTCAAAGTGATTACATGATTAAGCAAACTAAACTACCACTATTCAAAAAGTTTGCTGTGGTAGAGAATTTTTGAATGACACTAAGAGTTTCCTATTTGCTTTCAATGGAACATTTATAAAAACTACATTTAAGCATTTATATTAATTTTTATTTGTTTATTTTTTGATAGTTCTTGCCAGTAGCCTCAGTCCGTATCGTGAAGGAAGATTTATAGAGAGGCGACTGCGATCCTCATCAGAAGGAACTGCGGGGAGTAGCAGAATGATTTTGAAACCAAAAGATGGAAATGTTGAGGAAGTTAATAGTCTAAGAAAGCAAAGAGCAAGTTCATCATCTTCAAAAATGAACAGCATGGTAAGTATATACATATGCCTGCATGTAATAAAATCATTCCATGTATATCTGACATGCTCATGCCTCTTGCAAAATGAAAACAGACTGAAGAATAGACACCTTATATTTGAAGGGAAAATTGGTCTCCATAGTTGACATCACAAATCAGAGAGGCTAAATTTTCACTTGACTTAGGAGCACACCGTGATAAGTACACTTAATTCCTGTCTTTCTTGCTTCCATGGAAAGTCTGATATTCTCCATGCTAGAACTAGACCCTGGGATACGCAAGCTGAGAACAATGCTGATCATGAGGATACCCTCTGACATCATCATTCCACACCATCTCTCCACCCTCTAGCCACTCTAAAAGATGGCCTGTTGTAAACCACACTTATGCCGGTACCACCTTAGACCCTTTAGTGGACGCTGCTCTGCCTGTCGTTTCACAGGTGCCCCTCCACACAGGGTGACAAGCCTTGGGGGGTCAAGGCAAAATGCCTGTCCAAAGCTTTAACACATTCCAGGTAATTGAGATTCCAGATTCCTGGTCCAAATCATGGGAGCCTGCTTTTAGGAAGAGAGTAGAGACGAGGTGTGTAAGGGGTAGGGTCTGAGCTTACACTTGTGGGCTGGAGTGTCTTAGAGGCACGTGTGTGACGCTCCCTCATAGTGTGAGATAGAGCCACGGATGGGAAGACTGCAGCCCAGGGGGTCCCAGAGGCCTCAGGTCTCTCAAATATTGGGGTAGGCTAGCCTTTTGGAGTTCATTTTACTCACTTTCTCACAAATGTGTCTTTTTTCAGCAGCGTCTTTAATTTCTAGTATTCAACAGTGTTTCTTTAAAATGATCTACCTACCTACCTACCTATCTTTTCATGGATATATGTGAAAAATGCTCAAAACTAAGTCACTTAGGATATTTCTATGTATTTTAGATAATTATGTTTCAAATGAAAATGTTAGCTCTTCTGGTTCTGACAATTGTATTGTGAAGAAGCCTTAAGTTACTGAGGCACCATTTAGTGACAGCAAAACCATTGTACTTGAAGTTAGAAGTTCTGGCTCTTAGGTCAGACTCCGCCAGGTAAATCAATAACCACAAAACAGCAAATGATGATGGCTTTCTTTTTTCTATTATACTAAAAATTGATCATGTGTATGTGTATTTATATTTGTCTGTATAGAAAGATATCATATTATATTTCATCTTTCTTTTTGTTCTTTTGTGCTTTGAAAATGTTATATTATTATTGTGGCAATTGATATTTTTTGTCTAAGTACAAGAATATGTTAAAAAAGATTTCCAGTTCATGCAGCATTAAAATTTGTGGCTAGTGAATTGTTATGAAACATTTCTCTTCACCAAATTTCCATTATTCCTTTATAAAGAGGTATTTAAATTAATAATTGTGCTCTATTGATTACATTTGCCCAAAGTTGGACCTTTTATGTATTCTTTATATCTTGTTTTTCATGCTACATTTAAATAATTCTCCTTGTGACATTGCAAAATCACTCTCCTTCTCAGATCAACTTTCAAGATTTAAAATTTAAAATGTCAAAATGCAAAAATGTGCTTTTGTTCTTTTATTTGAGGCTTTTTATAAATTTTCAAAAAGTGTCCCTGTAGTGATGTAGGTCTTCCACTAGATGGCAGGATCACACCGTTGCTGTGGTAGGGGAGATGCTATCAAGGTTAGAACAGAAGCTTGGTTGAAATACTGTATTCACTAGATTTACGGGTAAAACTTGTTGAAATAAATACTGACATGCTTGAATTTCCACACAAAAGCTACCAAAAATTACTTTAAGACTTTACTGTTTTCTTTTGGATTTTGTAACTAATATCTCATCCCCAATTAATTTATAGTTTAATAGTTAATTTAAAATGCATAAAATATATTCTTTAACTCATAGCAATATAAGGAAGAAATGTTAGGATTCTTTTGGTAATTTTAGATACCTGTGAAATAAATGACATATTTAGGAAATTATACTTATATATTTAGGAAATTATAGCTTTATGTGTGAAAAGTGACACATTTTCTGTTCCTCTTCTAAAATAATTCAAGCGAATATATGTATTTAAGAATACATCCATGGTTCAGTTATTCTTTTCTTTTAAAGCAATAATAATAGTAACATGTATTTTTCATGTTTATTTGAACCAAGGGACTGCTCTTAAATGCTTCACATTTATTATCACATCCAGTCCTCACAATACTATGAACAAAGTGATATTGTTATTGAGCACATTTTGCAAAAGAGGAAGATAAGGCACTGAGAAGATAAGCAAGTTATCCAGAAACACAGATAGGAAGTGGTGGGGATAGGATTTAGATTTGGATTCTAGCTGTCTTTAAACCCTATATGCTTGGGGGAAGTGTAATAAATTTAAAATCAATTTTTCATTTTTCTCGCATTATGTTTTTATAACAAAGTTAACATATTTAAGGCAACCTATGTTTGTTCTAAGTCTAGACTACAACCCTCTGTAAGGGATACAAAAAAGAAACAAGATTTAGCACTTTATCTAGACTTAAAATATAATATTTCTTGATATGCTGATGAATAGTATCATTGTCTTTGCTGAGAGATATTTCATCTAAAAAGGAACTTTGTCACAAAAAAAGATAATCGTACTTAGAAGGAAGTTCGTGGAGATTTACTTCTACCTATAGGTTATGGCTTTATTTCTTAAGATGCTGAGGGTTCCTGAATGACCCAAGATATGCCCTAATAAATTAGATAGACCACAATTCCAGTGTTTTGTGTACTTTGGGGATATTTCAATCTGAAAGAGAAAGGACAGAATGTATTAACTCTTTGAACATCATGGCTCAGAAGAAATTGGACTTTACTTAAATTTATTACAAGAAACCAAACATATCTGTAACAATTTGATAAATATTCACATTTATTGTATATTTTCAAACTGCTTTAAATAAAGCTTTCCTTAATTTTTCTCCAATGGGTAACTTTCTTGATACTTTCCTTAAGATGGTCCAAACATTTTTAAAGGTTTTCTAAAAATAGGCTCATTCTTTCTAAGAACATTCCCTCCAGACTATGGTATGTAAATAAATAAATTTAAGGATTTGTCATGGTTTCTCCAACAGCTTCACACAGTGAAGTCTAACTCCAAATATTTACAAGATCACCCTGCTCTAAAAAATAATACTAATGTGAGGATAGATTCATATATAATGAACAATTCAGAGGACCTGGCATCATTACAGGAAGGAAAATGCCTGAGTATACGAGTAAGGATAAGCTAAGCTGTGTAATAGCAAATGACCTCTAAATCTTAATGACTTTATCATATAGATTTATTTCTCACTCAGATTACATGTTCATTGTGGAAGGTGCTGGAGTTCCATTCAACGTCTGCTCCTTCTCTATCCATTGCAAGCACTGCCTTTCACCTTGGCAAAAAGAGATCTTTGGAGGTCCTCATCCAGTAGTAAATGCTCTGACCCGTGAGAGGCTCACTTCACTTCCTCTCACAGCTCATTGAGCAGATTTAATCACGTGGCCCAAACTAGCCACAAAAGGGGCCAGGACGTAGTCTCTTCCTTGTGTCTAGAAGATGTAGACTCAGGTATGTTTGATGGGCACTAATGACTATCATATTCCCAAATAATTTATTGTGTCTCAGTTCTTTTAACCCACTGAGATTTCCTGCTTACCTGCTCTCTCGCTTCCGTCCACAGTCATTTAATGGGCCCTGACTTTATGGCTCACACTGCACTGGTCATTGTGGTTAAGAAAGATGAAGGCATCTTGAAATTGAAGGATTCATTCATAACCTATTAGTTTTGTCCTTTGGGATGTGCTGTCTTCCTGCAATGTGTATCTAAATTAACTTTACTTGATTCAGTGTCTGGTGATCCTACTATATTTGGAAGTATTTATTTTTATTACATTAAAAAGCTGGTTTGGAAAGTTGTGTTATCTTTAGATCACTCAGTAAATGCATCCACAGAGTTGCCCTCAACTATTTGTGCTAAGTGATTCTGACAGCATTTATTTGTGGCCAGTTTTACTCTGACACAGCATAATTTCTCTCATTTGCAGTTTGGCATCCTGCTGCCTTTGTGTAGAAACTGTGAATGGCATAGTAGAAACCATAGTGTAGTAAAAAATAAGGTGTAGGACTTCTTTGGTAGCAGAACAGACCAGATTTATATTTGAGAAGACATAGTTAGTTGCAGATGATTAGTATCTTATGTCATATTTTAATTCTTTGATATGTCCAAATTCAGAATTTAGGTATTATTAACAGTAGATGAATAATCTAAGACTAATTATGCCCTATGCTGAATAGCCAAGCACTTTACTATGCATTCACTTTTCTTCTGAGGCATACTGTTTCTCCTTTATTAGCTTATCTTTTACTGATTTATTCATTCATTCATCAAATCATTCACATTTTCTTTCAGTAAATATTTGTTTACTGAAATGCAAAGATAAAAGAGACAACCCTTGAGGATTTTAGAGTTCCAGAATGGGAGACATTAACATGATCTGGTCAATCCAGCAGATTTAACCGTTTGACCATTGATATCAAAAGACAAAAGGACTGAAAAAGGGCCCGTGAACTCTCGTGTCCCTGATTTCTATGTACTTCATCTCATGTGCTCAATTGACACTATTAAATATGTATGTCACCTCCTTGTGTCTTTGGCTAATATCTCCCACTGAGGCCCAGCTGTGAGTGCTGAGCAAGGACCCTGAGAGGCAATGGGACAGTAAGGAAGAAGGTACAAAATTAACGTTCAAAGAGTCAGTTTCACAACGTCAGCCTCCACCATCCACTAGGTGAAAGAGCTCTCCTGGCCTCGTTTGGTATATGCGCTTTCACGCTTCCGTTTTGTGGCATGAAAGTTGTTTGACCCCAAAATTAAGAGCAAAGGAAAGATGATAATTAGAAGATCTGACTCAAGAAATTTCTTCTCTTAATCCTGCAATCTTAAGTGAGACTTTCAAATATGTACAAATGTTAATGGATTTTTGAG